CCTATGAGCTTTTAGTATGTACATGACAAAATTTGCTTACTAAACTTGTAGTCGAGAAAAAAGATTAAATTATCCGAAGGAATATCTGTTGTTCTAAAGGGTTATATCTTCACCACTCTTCCAGGAATCACATGCTCTGCCTCTTGGCCCTTCTTATGCAGCTAAAGTGAAAGTAGCACACCTTGGGGATTCGTCTATGACAGGATAAAAAATAGTGATTTTAAAAAAGGAGCATGTGGCTCCTGCCCAAGTTCTGTAACCACGATGAAATTGGGGATTGAGCGGCGTCTGATGGAAAAGATCCCTGAAGTTGTCGCTGTTGAGTCAATACCGGATGAAGAAACTAGCCTTGAGCTGAATGAAGAAAACATAGAGGAGGTAGATATTTCTTTTCATTGTGTTATGTGTAATCTATTGTAATGTTCAATTCACTATGCATTATATTTCTTCTTCTGGAATATGTATAGCTAGAAAAATTTATATTGATATGGTCATTTATCTATAGCTATTAGCCCATCATTTATCACGATCCCGATTTTTTTGTTAATAACGTATCCAAAAAAAATTTCCCCTGCTTGCAACAATGGAAAGATACGAATCAAACTAGTATAGGCTTGTATTGTAAATTTCTTTTTTTTTTTTTAGCAATGCTATTTAACACTCTTGTACTTAACGTCAGTTTAGGCCCCCATTTGGTGAAAATTAAAATCTAAATTTTAATTTAAATCAAAGTTAAAAATAAATTATAACCACACATTTTATAAGATCCACAACTTTTCAAACACACATTTCATCAACTTTTATCAAATTCTATTAAAATTCTAATATCCTTACCAAATAGGGTAAGGTGACAGCATTAATAACATTAAGTCCCCGTTTGGCACCCATTCATTTCTCTTTCTCATTTTCATTCTCATTCTCATTCTTCATTTCAACCACACATTCTCCAAATAAAATAATATTACACACAAATCAAAAACTTTTCATCACTTTTTCACCACACATTCTCACATCAATCACTATTCTAAAATTTTTATTCTC